AAATTACAAAATTGCTATTTTTGAAATTTGGCCACGTGGCGCAGAAATAGGAGGTCTTTAGACCGAGCCAACCATAGAAGATCCATTTAAAGATATTCTTTGTCCAGAGCCTAGTACTTATTAATTTTGATCTGTTATTTATTATTATTTCAATATTTATTTTTATAACATTCACAACGTTTATTATCATTATTTAAATTTATTACGTGTAACAATAAAAAATGGGGTATGTAGATCAATTTCATTCTACACGCAAATTACTTTAAAAGGATATCCGGCCTACAATTTCCCATTTTTTTATTAAGCAAACAGGGTCTAATATCTTCACAAGTTATAATCTACATGTCACAGGATGATATTATGTAAAAAACACAAATTTGGTCAAAAGAGCTCGGAGGTGGTTTTTGCTGTAGACAGTCCCATATTCGGTCATTAATGACAATAATATAAAAAAGTACAGAAGAATTCAAAAAGAAAAAAAAACCTCATTTTCTCCACTCTATTCATTAAATACAAAGTAATGAAATATTTAATAATGCTAATATTAATTGTGATAGAGAAAATATGAAAGATTATTTTTTTTCATTAGTCAAGAAAAACAAAGAGCTTGCTGAAAATGAAAAAGAATATTGTAAAAAAAGGTTTATCTATAACTTTGAATTAGATAATACAAAGGATAAAAGGGAAAAATATAACAAATGTAAATTGACAAGACACTGATAGATTCTGTGAAGGTTGGAAATAACATAATTGATGATGTTATTCAACAATGACAAATGAAATCATCTATGCCAAACCAAATTTTAGAATAGATGCCTTTTGAGCAATTTGAAGAAGTAACAAAGTTGACGGGAGATGGGTTTACTTTCAATTTATACTGCTGAATGGACAAGAGGAAGTATTTCAATTGGTTATGAACCAAATATATAAATACATATATGGAATACAATACTTCAACGAATGAACCATTAAATATGTCATTAAAAACAGATTTTGACAAAATTCATCATCTGATAATCCATTCTCTAATTTTTTTACAGCGATTAAAACAACATATTGGATGGAGAGAAGACAGTGGAATACTTTGGCTATAAAAGTTTTATCTTTGATTGCTAGTGTTATGTTGGTTAGTGTTATGCAAAATATGTTTATTGCTTTCATGAGGTATGTCATTTATAGTAATTATTATTATGTTATTATTATACTGGTAGTAATGTTAATCATTTTTTAATTGGGGCATACTGCAACAAAACCAGACAAAGTGAACATTTGTATTACTAAGTTAATCTACCACTGTGATAGTAATATTTTACTTATCAATGTGAAATGAATAAATGCAAAATCAATTGTAAAGATATTTTATTACAAATAATACTAAATAATAATATTTTTTTTGAAAATGATAAATTACAAATCATCATGCAAAGACAATTCTAAAACAATTATATAATCTTAATTAGTTTCTATTTTCTCATGTTGTATTGGGGTAGTAATTGTAGTAAAAATAATTGAATATAATTGATTATATTATCTTATCTGAATTTCTATTCATTGAACAACTTAAAGAATATTTTTCTGTTTTAAATATTAATAATTACTGATATGATCATTCATAATAAATTTATAAGTAACCTGGTTAAAACATAAAAAGCTCTGTTGATTAATTTACTTAAAATTCTTGATATTTTCTATATCATTATTGATGTTCATGACATTGTTATTTTTGATTATAGAAGCAATCCTGAATTAATCTATAAGTACAATTTTTTAATTTAAAGAGTTTTTCTACGAATTTCCTCATGGCACAATCCTTCAATGGATTCTTCAATTTTTAATAGTAAACTTTTTGAGTCAACTTCTTTGTAATTTTCTAGTTCATCACTAACACTATTATCAGATTTCTTTTCTGATGATTTATTATTATTATTAATTTGTTTGTTTTTTTTTCTATACCTTTTTATATCAACATTAACACTAACAATATCCACTGGGTAAGAATTTTCTAAATCTTCTTTATCATGAACATCAATTACATGAATAGTTTTTGAAATTTTCTTTACAATATTTAAATTGTTTTTTAAATTTATGGTCTCCTTATTCTGAAAATCATCTATTAATTTGAATATATGTTTTTCATGATCTTTGGTATCTTTTTTATCAGTTTTTGTTTGTGATATAGGTCTTTTCTTATTTAAAATTGTAAATTGATCATGTTCAGTTGAAACATCTAAAATTGTAAAATCTGCATTTGGTTTAATATACCAAGTCTTGGCATAGAATTTTCTCACTAATTTTGTTTCTCTGAAATCAAGAATTAGGTGTGACTGGATGGGTATTGGTGAATATATGCCACATAAATAAAAGGTAAATATATGTACACATTATATAGAGGTAAAATGAAATAGAATCTACATATACATAATTACATGAATATACCATCCTCGAAATGATCGTAGTGTTTTTTCATTTTATCACCATTAATGAGCAACTCGATTGCCCATTGTTTCTCATTGATGTAAAAATCAACCAACCCATCTGTCAAGAATAGATGTCCAACATCTGGTGAGAGATGAATTTCAGAAGGTAGGAAGCTATATATTGCTCTATATAGTTCCATTTGACACACCCTCTCCAGCAATTTTTTTCCATTCTTAGATTGACCCAAACTGTTTTTCAATGTCTTAGGATCAATTCTGGATAAAGCTTCTTTGGTCAAGTCATGTAAACTAAATTCACCTCTCAATGGTTCTTTCATTGGAGCATATCTTTGAAAAAATGATAATAATCTGTTTATGGGTGAGGTAAACCCAACAACTCTACCTTCTCTCAAATTGAAATCAGGACATTCACAATCCAGGTAAGATATCACACCAATTTTAAGCAATGATGACACCACATCATCAGGACCTGATTCAGGAACATTTATCTCATCTTCTAGCAATAAGTTATCAATAGGGTTTGTATTCATGAATATCATAAGGGGGTCACACATGGTCACACACTATTAAAATCAAGTGATCAACTCATGTTTTTAAGGGATTTTTTGCTGTTTTAATAGTGTGTAACCCCTTAATGATATTCATGATATTCATGAATAAAAACCCTGGTTATCAATCACTTCACCTTGTTTTTTGGTAAATTTGTATAATGATGGAACTCCTAGGTATGTTTCAATTTCATCAATAAATTCTGATATTTTTGAATCTTTAGAACTAAATAGATGCAAATAGAAGTCAATACATCAGAGAATTGAAATAGGCATTAACTAAAATGATGGGTTGCATGCAACAATCACAACTATCTCTTTGATAACTAACTAGAGTAACTAGAGTGATGGCAGGTGGCGGGCGATAACCACCACCACCATCCTTAAAACACTTACCCAGCAAGGACTTCACAGTCTTGTTGTCTGCTTCTTTTCTTGTTGTTGTTCTTATTAGGCGGCATTTTTGTAAAAATAAAAGAAGTTTTATTATGATCAACATGTACAACATTAATTATTTATCCTATTGGTTTTTTTTTGGTAGGACAGACGCGAATTGATTTTTTTTCTTTCTTGGAAAAACAATTTATTTTTTGACAGAGTCCAAGGTGACAAAATGTGAATCTTCTAAAGAAGGTGTGTTAATAACTAACCAGAGGTACTATTTTTTATTTGTATTGATTGATATTTTTATTTTAGTTTATAAATATATATTATTGGAAATCAAAACACAGAGCAGATCTTGCTGGTGTAATACAGATTCTTATCAAGATTGTGTATTTTGCTTTTCGTAATCCATAATATTATTATATTATTATAATTACAGGATGTCAAGGCAGCACATTGTTGAAAAAGAAATATTTCAAGTATGCAACGTTTGATTATCAGAAATTTTAGAGACATTGAAGCACACATGCTATCTCGAACACTTTACAGTCATTCTCTCACCTTCCTCATGTACACAAGGCTAATCTGACCAAGATTCCCCTGATGATACAACGATGCTACAGAATTTCAGGGGGGGGGGCCACATGGTCCTGGAGTTTACCGAGACTGCATCAATCATCAATGACGCTTTCACTAATCTTCCCAGACCAGAGATGGCTGCTAGCATGCTGGCCAAAAAGTTGCTTGCAACAATCCTACCTCTAGGCAAGAATGGCACTGTGACCAAGTCGTAACTCTGCTGATGAATATTAAGAGAATCTGCAACTCGTTCCAAGCACAGGAGGTCACAATTCAGAACAGGGTTGGTGGCCCTGAAATTGCATTTTGCTCTTATGTTAAGAGGAAAGTTGTAAAATAGCGTTTGTTTTGTATAATCACTTTCCTAAATTCTCTGTTTTTCTGATGCTAACCAATTTATGATTTTGGGTAGGGGACTGGATTGGGTTTTTGCCCAATCAGTTCTCTGGTCCTGTAGGTTAAAATTATCGCATGTTCATATACATCTTTGTCAGCAATGTGGCCAACAAGAAAAAGAAAAAAGTCATAAAATGGCTCAGATTTTGTTTGGTATGTTACATTATAAATTAAGCATTTTCATAAATACTCTGCTTTTCTTTAATTTTTATCTGACCAACTGAATTTGTTAATTTAGTAAATGGGCATGCCACTGACAAGACTGAGGACATCTTTGGGATATACCAGCCAAACTCATAGAAAGGGATCTTTTGTCCAGACTTAGGGCCACATGGATGTTAAGCACAGAAAATGTACACTATCAATGTATATTTTTTTCAACAAAATAAACATTTAAATAATTAATTGTTAAATATTAATACTTTACTTTTCATAAAAGTTACAGCAACCCAGGACTCAAAACTCTGAATTCAAAACAGCAATCCAGATTGCAACCTTCTGAGTTGCAGAATTTTCAACCAGTTGCAGGTGCCAACTTTTATGCTAGTGTGGCAATAACACGCAGCAATCATCATACAAGCACCAGCTATCAGTGATCAATGCCCATATGGTAACAGTCAAGCCCGGTCTGAGGGGATGATAAGGGGATGTTTTGTCCAAAGCCTTCCAACATGTTTAAGACTGTTTCACCTGTGGGAAAAAAATTCCATGGTGCTGAATTGTGCTTAATTGTGCTGTTTTGCATGTTTGTGACAGGAAATTTTTTAATTAAATCTGACACTTGCGATCAACATCAGATTTATTATTCATAAGGAACCATAATTGATAATTGGGCAAAATAATTTATTATTGTGAATCCCAGAGATCTGGGTAGACACGCATTATTAAAAGCTTCATTTATGCATGGCCTTGGTATTGTTACTACCTGGGTGATGCAATTGTTTGTTATGTCAATGATGATATCAAATGTATTGCATAATAATCATGACTATCATGAATATTTGATGGATGGAGGCATTCACATATATGAGGAAGGATTAAACAACTAAGTCATATTTATTTTTTATCCAACCAAGTTATATAATTAATTATATTTAAAAGTAATTATTTTATTCCACTCTTGCAATGAAAGGTATTATTCTGAAATCATTTGTTTATTTAGCATTAATGATTGAAATCAATTGCACAGGTGGTAGTCAATTTAAATGTCATTCATTTTTTTAAATGTGTAAATATTTTTTAAAAGATGTTTTTACAATAATGATTTTTAATATTGTAAAAATTTTTTTTGATGAATGTAAATCTTTATTAATATTAATAAAAAATCAGGAAACATGAAATTTTTGCACATAATTATTTTTCATGGGGAAGCTGACCAAATTTTCAAATTTCCCTTCACAGGTTACTGAACAATCATATTTTTTGAATCATTTACCTAAAACTATTCCATTGATTCATCTAAGTTTAATTCCATTCATATACACAGTGGGTCTCGATTTAACGGACCTCGATTTAGCGGATTTAGGGGTTTAACGGATAAATTTTCAAAACCAAAT